ATCTGACTTGTTTTGCAGGCTCTTCTTCTTCTTCCTCTTCTTCTTCTTCACCCCAAACCCTAAACCCTAAACCCTAAACCTTAAACCCCAAACCCTAAACCCTAAACCCTAAACCCTAAACCCTAATTGAGTTCTTTGCGTTCGGGTTGAGGGAACCCACTTGCATGAATGTGCCCTGACTACAGGACGCGAGAAAGAGGCTGCTGTTCACAGAGGCACGGGTTCGAGGAAGATGTGGCAACCCCTTCTTCTTCTTCTTATTTATCTTCTTCTTCTGTTGCTTCTTATTCTTCTTCTGCTGCTTATGTTGCTTCTTCTTATTCTTCTTACTATTATACTTATACCTCTTCTTTCTTCTCCTTCTTACTCTTCTTCTGCTTTCTATTTTGCTTCGTCTTCTTCTTCTCGTAGTGTTTAGGGTCTAGGCTTTAGGGGCGATGTTGGTATGTTCTTAGGACGCACCTTGACTTCCAACACCGAAACTCGGAGTGTCTCACGCAGGATCTACTTAGCGATTGGGGGCTCAAGAATTACAAGTTGTTCTCCTACGAGCCATACACCCTGAACCCTCGACCCTAAACCTGAAGCCTTACACCCTAAACCCTAAACCCTAAACCCTGAACCCTAAAACCCTTAAACCCTAAACCCTAAACCCTAAACCCTAAACCCTAAACCCTAAACCCTAAACCCTAAACCCTAAACCCTAAACCCTCTCCGCCAGAGCCTCGAGCTTTTTGCATGTCTGACGCGCATTCGCAGCCCTGATCCTTCAAGCTTCTTGGGCTTGGGAGCCAACAAGGGTTGAGGGAGCCAAGGGCGTTGGACCCTAAACCCTGGGGGAGTTTAGGGAGTTTGGGGAGTCTAGGGAGTTTAGGGACTTTAGGGAGTTTAGGGAGTTTGTGGAGTTTAGGAAGTTTAGGGGCCCTAAACCCTAAACCCCCTAAACCCCCTAAACCCCCCAAACCCCCTAAACCCCCTAAACCCCCTAAACCCCCTAAACCCCCTAAACCCCCTAAACCTCCTAAACCCTAAACCCTGAGCCCGCCAACGCCACACGGAGAAGACACCTCCTATGCGAGGCGCCCAAGGTGGCTGAGAAGGTGAACATCGAAGACGCGTTCCAGGAGAGCTTTGAGGGCTTCAGGGGTTTAGGGTTTAGGGTTTAGGGTTTAGGGTTTAGGGTTTAGGGTTTAGGGTTTAGGGTTTAGGGTTTAGGGTTTAGGGCTTGTAAAAACATAAATCCCTCCGCCGGCTTAGGGTTGAGGGTTCAGTGCTTCAGGTCAGGGTTTAGGGCTTCAGGGTTGAGACCCTAAACCCCAAGCCCCCTAAGCTCTAGCCTAAACCCGAAACCGACCCTAAACCCCAAAACCAACACTAAACCCCAAACCCCAAACCCAACAGTAAACCCCAAACCCCGAAAGCCCTGAAATCGTCGAGATCAGGTTTAGGGTTGAAAGTTTAGGGTTTAGGGTTTAGGGTTTAGGGCTTAGTAGGGTTTTGGGCTTCACGTTCAGGAGAAGACTCAGGATTTTCCAGACCGTTACTGAGAAATAGGTGGTTCAAGTTCGCTACGTTCCACAAGAGGGGATTAGGAGTTTAGGGTTTAGGAATTCGGGGCGAGCCCTAAACCCAAAACCCGAAACCCTAAACCCTAAACAGCAAACCCTAAACCCTAAACCCTAAACCCCTAAACCCCTAAACCCCTAAACCCTAAACCCTAAACCTTAAGCTAAATTGTTTGGAGCTCTAGGAGCTGATAAATGGCTGATGGGTTCGATGGAGGGCTCCCAAGGGTAGAGTTGTGGGGCCTAGGGTTAAAGACATTTGCTCTCTTTTTTTTTTGAGGGGGAGGGGGAGCTTCCTTGTTAAATTAGTTTCACTCATGCGTGAACTCCATGCACTTGTAAGGATAATGTCCGAAGCAAATCCAAAGGCACCCTGCGAATCCTTAACAACCCTAAACCCTACACCCTCAACTCTAAACCCTCAACCATATACCTCTATGAACCCCATGGATGATGTTGCATTCCGGACATGCTTGACGCCCAAAACGAGTATTGTCCCCAGAGGCTCCGTGGAAGCCCACAAAATGCCACGACCTGCCACTGCTTCGGGAGGTTGAAAAGTCATGGGTTCCCCCTACTATCCCCCTCTGTACTACCCTGGCTAGATTCCCAGGCTTAATTCGGCTGAATGATCCCCAAATAATCTTAATCAGGGGGACCATAGGGGGGGTAGTATAGAGGGGGTAGAAGGGGAACCCATGAAAAAAGTCTATTCCCAGAAGGCTTCAAACCCTAGAAGCCACCAGGGGAGCCTTTCCGAGATTGAGGTTGTTTGGAGCCCACGGTTCAAGGCTCTCCTTCCCTAAACCTGGGACCCTAAGCCCTCAGGGTTGAGGGTTTGGGGGTTTAGGGGTTTAGGGGTTTAGGGGTTTAGGGTTTAGGGTTTAGGGTTTAGGGTTTAGGGTTTAGGGTTTAGGGTTTAGGGTTTAGGGTTT